ATGACTGATGGCATAGGTCCTTTTGGTCCTACCACTTAAAATTGTGTTGGTCCAAATAGTCACTGTCGGTTGAGATAAAATAAAAAATTCAACAAAGTCAAAAGCCATGATTTTTAATTTGTTTTTATTTTTATTGAATGAAAGCAAAATATGTCGAAAATAGCATCAGATATTAGAAAAAGTGTAGATTTGTTCGAATTGGTCACCTTTCGCACGAATTTTTGCCTTCAAACGGCCAACGAAACCGTCAAACGCTGCCCGAATGTTGTTCTGCGGTATTTGGGCCCATTTCTCCCGAAGCGCTTGCTGGAGGTGATCGACGCTTTGGTATTTTTTAGTGCCAACCTCCAGACACAATAGCTCGGATTGGTATCCGGAGATTTTGGTGGCCATTGTGAGCTGGAAATGAAGCGAGGAACCTCATTTTGTAACCGTTCTTTGGTGGCGCATGCTGAGTGCGAAGGTGCTGAGTCCAGTTGGAATGTCCAAAATGTTTGCGTGTCCAAGGCTTTAATACACCCTCCAGAATATTTTTGTGATAATATTCGGCATTTATTCTGATGCGACGGTCGATTAATATGAGCGGCTGTTATGGCGGCCCACACCATCACCATGGCCGGCGCTTGAGTTCTGGTGGTCAACCAAAGGTGCTCATTTTCAGCTGACCTCTTTGGCAAATAAACACAATCATTTTGTTTGTTGTTTGGACAACGAATGTTTTCTCATCGAAGAAAATCAAATTCGGCAGTTAACTACTTTCGCCAAGCGAAGCAACTTTTTAGCACTTTTGAGTCTATTTTCTTTCTGTTGCGGTGTAAGTTTTTGCACTTTTTGGAATTTTAAGGGCTTTAACCCCGAGCTCATTTTTCAATGGAATATTGCGATATGTTCAGCTCACGATCCATTTTTCGGCTACTGCCACGCGGGTTTCGATCAAGTCGCTTCTTTACTTTTCGAACCATTTCTGCTGATGTTGCTGTTTTCTTCCGTTCACTTCCTTGACGTCGGGCTACGCTACCAGTATCACGGTAACGAGCGATGCTGCGAGACACAAAAGATATATTCACATTTAAATGCTGGAGTGCTCTACCGATATCCACTTGTGGTTTCTAGCCAAATATAAAGAAATAAAACCATCACGCTTGAATTTCATCACGAATAAACTTTTTTCTGGAAAATTCTCACCAAAATGCTTTTGTACGCTTATAAACAATATAACGAGCTGTCACTGGCATAATTTTAACAGCTGTCGGAGGAGTGGCTTGGAAATGACAGCAGTCTAAAGTTGGTTGCAGTTTTTTCATCTCACCCTATATACCGAAAATCATCGGATTTGAAGGAATCGTAGTCTGAAAATTTTAAAAAATTGGAAGAGGGGAAACTTGCCTCTTGTAAATAGGTTATTATGCGCTGTAAACTTTCATAACGCCGATACACATGTCTTCCTATTTCAGCTCTACTTTCCCAATCCTTGTAATTATTAAAATAAATTGAGTTGAATTTTGTCGAACAGTTGAAGGTGTTTGTGAAGCAAAACACGCAACGTGCGTGATCTATTTTAACCAGTGTGGCCGGGGCCTTGATGAGTCATTGGACCAAGTTAATCATAAAATATACATATACTCGCAATTGCCCACTGCTTCGCCAGTGAATTTAAGAATCGTTCCAACGGTTAGTGTTAGGCCTAGGACAAAATATTTTAATCAAAACTTCATACAACGTACTAAATTTTCAGACATTCAAGGTTTTATATATTATTCAAGTTTTTCCTCTTCGTAAAGTCCAAAGGAAATTTTTTTCCTTTTACACCAAATAGTCTTAAAAATCGTTCATTTGAAGTTTGCCGTGGAGTTATTTGTAAAACCCTTGCACAATGGACTTACATCCAATTTACCATCCAATCTACATCTCTCCATCCTATTTACTAACAGTGATCAGGTATAGGACGTATTTACAAAACCTTTACCAAAGACACGGACAGTGACATATCCAAAACAATCTACATCACTTCATTCTAGACACCAACAGTGATAAAAAATGTGTACCATTTAGAACTTTTCGAACAATTATGGTACGAATTTGCAAAACCACCTCCAGATATCAACATAGACCTCAATATAAAATTTCGGTATTCCAGCTTTATGCGTTCACCCAATACCAAATTTAGTAACATTTAGTATTTATACCCTACAACACTATGTGTTGGGGGTATTATAAGTTTGATTGGGCCAGAATTTATATAACACCTCGAAATATTGGTTTCCCATATAGGAAAGTATATATGGATCTTCCTAGCTCGCCGAGCTGAGTCGATCTAGCTATGTATGTCCGTCCGTCCGTCTGTCCGTCTGTCCATGTTAATTTGTAATCACGCTACAGGTCGCAATTATGGCCCGATCCTAACGATGGACCAAATACTGAAAAAATGTTGGATTTTGCAGTAGCTATACAGGTCGCAATTATAGACCAATCGACGAATTTCGCATGTAGCTAGAGTTTAGGGCGGGGAAGAAGCCTACCAATTTGGGTGGTCATCGGATAATATTTAGCGGGTAAAATAGGCCATATATTTTTTGTTGAAAAAATTCAAAAATTTTCATTAAACGCGAATATTTTAAATCCCGGCGAAAACACAAAGCCATGACAAGGTTACTTCTGATCTTTACATTGATGTTAACATCCAACAAAACGGATATATAGCAAAATATGTGCGATATATAGTCTATCAAAGAAGATATGCTTAAAAGATCTCTTATATGTAGAGAACGGCTGAACTGATTTCGACAGTTCTCATTAATTCAGAATGGCCTCTTGTCAGGAAACAAAAAACGTCTAAAAAAATCGCATAAAAATATCTCTCTAAAGATGAAAATATTGATTTTGTAAAATTTTCTCATATTTTTTCAATTTTGTCATATTTTTGGCATATTTTCATTTTGAATTAAACATTTGGTAATATTTCTACAGCTAACAAAACTAAGTAGTTAGGATATCAGGATATCATATACAGATCGCATTTATGGCCCGATCCTTATGAAATTTTGCATGGGGATAAGATGAGGGTCAGAATAGAAGCCTACTCTTTTTGGAGATGATCGCCATATATTTAGGGGTTGAAATGGACCAAAAAACTGCAAAATTGTCAGCAGGTCGTAATTATCGCCCGATCCTCACGCACATTTGAATGGGGGTTACCGGACATTGCAAAAGCCAAGCTGTTTTGGATGGCCATCCAAAATATTCAATGTGCGAAATAGTTTGCCAACTTTTGTAGACAAAATACGAAAATGTCCATTCCAGTGACTTTTTGGAGAATTCACAAATACAGGAAAGACGCACTTCTGACTATTTCATTAGCGCTGATTTCGTTGAAGAATATAATCAAATGTCTGTATCTCATAAAGATGCCTTTCAGTCAAAAACCAATAATAAATGTTAATCTTTTGCCACTTCTGAGAGATTATAGGTCTTTGGGAAATATTGGTTCCAGATCTAGGAAGACCATTTACGTGCAACATCTTCCAATAAATTGGAAATTAGCAAATTAGTTTAAGTTGCTATTATTCGAAAATTAGAGAACGAAACCTGATGGTTTTCTTTTATTATTTGTCTCAATATCTTGTGGAATTCTTTCGAGTATCTCGACTATATAAACAGTATCGTTTATTATATTGTTGTAGGGTATTCAACGGTCGGCCCCGCTCGACTGTAGCCTTTGCTTACTTGTTTTCGTATAATTTTAGTACTTATCTGGAAAACGGTTTCATATCACAATCTCAGCTACCAAAAAGTATCTAAATATCTATTTTCAGAATTCCGTCTCTATCCCATAACCTAACGGGTCATTTTGTGGCATTTTCCTGGCCACTTCCCTCACTAAAATATGTGGGATCTATCAAATTTCAGGGCTTCAGCTCTGTAATTTCGCCAATTACTGAATTTAGTACACATTTCCAAACCCACCTCTAAACCACAAAACTAGATAACCAATGAGACCTCAATATCAAATTTGAGGATTCCAGCCCTACTCCTTAACCCAATACCAAATTTAGTACCATTTAGTACATTTCCAAATCTCAAACACAGATAACATCAGTAATCTAAATTTCAAATTTCAGCATAACATCTCTACAAATTCAATCAATACCATTAGCATTCAGCACTTTAAGTACAATTATAATATACATTTTCGAAACCATCCCCATGTATCCAGGCTACGTGCACTTGTAGTACACATTTACAAAAAAAAAAATAAATAATAATATTACAGCTTAATCCATTCACCATATGCCAAATTGTTGGAAATTGAGTACAATTTCGTACAGTTATTACACTTAGTACACATTTCGAAAACCACCTTCATATATCAATCCTATTTTCCAACCTTTATTCTCATACCGAACTTCAAGTTTTTAGCTCTACCCGTTCGAATAATACCAAACGGTACCGTTTTAGAAGTTTAGTACACTTTTAGAACTTTTCGTAGCCTCAAAGTTAAAATTTCTGATAACCCTGTATGTACACCTAGCTAGCTCATTCCGTTTGTTCGATACAAAGTATTAAAGTTTGAGTAAATTGTAGTACGTTTGGAAACATAAAGGTTCAAATTTCCAAAATTCCTTTGATACATCTATCCTATCTATAGCTTTCAGAATTCTACCTCATTCCGTTTGTCCAATACAAAGCATTCAATTTTTAGTACATTTTAGTACTTTTCATTCACTTTAGTATGGATTTAGAAAAACTCAGCTTTATTACACACCAACGTACCAGGACTGATGCTCGTGAAAATTTTAAATATTACAGCTTCAACCGTTCTGCCCGATACTCAGTCAGTCAGTTATTTCACTACTCTTTATATATGTATATTATTGAATCTCCGACGAATATGTCTAAAAGAGATAACAAAGGCAACAATTCACTTTTTCGCAACAGCAACAACAAAATTATATCTCTTTTATTAAATGCTAATCCTCTCAATATGTTTTTTTTCTTTACAGATTTATCTTCCTTTCGTTTGATCTTATACTTACATCCTTTCTTCCAAGTCTATCCCCCCACAAAAAAACCTCCTTAGTTTGTAACGCAACTACATTGAGACTGTCGCTGCTGTGGAAATGAATCAACCGAAAATAGTCATAATTGGATCGGGAGCTTCCGGCATTGCCTGCGCCACAAAACTATTGGATTATGGTTTCGAAAATGTGATAATTGTTGAGGCTGAGTCAAGGATAGGTGGTCGGATTCACACAATACCATTTGCCGACAATGTCATCGACTTGGGTGCCCAGTGGTGTCATGGCGAGAAGGACAATATGGTCTACGAATTGGCCCACAAACATGACCTGCTCGAGTCCACCGGTGATGTCTATGAATCCTATCAGTGTGTCCGCTCAAATCGTGAAGTTGTACCTGAAGACGTCAGCCAGCGACTGAAAGATATTGTCAACGACAGTCTGGTGACACGACAAATGGAACTGCGCAACTGCAACGGATCGCTGGGCAGTTATTTGAACAATAAATTCTATGAGGCTTTGAGGCGTCCGGAAAATTCCGATATTGATATGGCGATAGCTAAGGAGTTTTTTGAAAACTATAAAAAATTTGAAAATTCTGTTGAGGCTTCCGACACCCTGGACGATGTGTCGGGTAAGGGCTATTTAGAATATTGGGAATGTGAAGGTGATATTCTGCTGAACTGGAAAGACAAGGGCTATGTGGAGTTCTTACGTTTGCTGATGAAATCGCGAGAGGTGAAAAAGGAGTGGGGAATATTGGAGAAGAGGATACTGCTCAACAAACAGGTGGCAAGAATTGAATGGAATCGCAATGATTGTTGCGTTCAGATACGCTGCGTGGATGGTGATAGCTTTGTGGCAGATCACGTGATATTAACGGTGTCCCTGGGCGTGTTAAAGGAACAACAACTGAAGTTATTTGAACCGAAACTACCGGTGGAAAAACAACGGGCCATAGATGGCTTGGCCTTTGGCACGGTGAATAAAATTTTCATTGAATTTCCCCAGCAGTTTTGGCCCGACAAATGGACTGGTTTCACAATGCTGTGGCGTGACGAAGACATCCAGGAGATTCGAAGCACAAGCCGGGCATGGCTGGAGGATGTGTTCGGCTTCTATTGTGATCACAATCAACCTAGGCTGTTGAGTGGTTGGATCATCGGTGCCAATGGTCGGCACATGGAAACACTGCCAGAGGATGAAATCCTAGATGGTTGTATGTTTTTATTCAGGAAATTCCTGCAATGGGACATCCCTGAACCCAGCAATTTCCGGGTATCCAAATGGTATACCAACGAGAATTTCCGTGGTTCCTATTCATTTCGTTCCATGTACACCGAAGAGGTGGGTACCAGTGCCCGCGAATTGGCCCAACCTCTGAGTGTGGTCACGACCAAACCTGTTTTGAATGGTGAACCCACGGTAGAACCACTGTACAATCAATCACGTTGTGATAAACCCATAGTGCAATTTGCCGGTGAGGCAACCAGTGATCATTACTTTTCAACGGTGCACGGTGCCGTGGAAGCGGGGTGGCGTGAGGCCACACGTTTGGCCGATTTTTACGGCATGCTGAGGAAGAACTGCTCGGCTGCTGTCAAATCATCCTTATAACAATTTTAGGACTTTAAATGTCACTAAGTGATTTGGATGTTTTAGGTAATTGGTGGGGAGCTGCAGAAAAAGTTCTTCGCCGAATACCTTTTAACATCCTTAGAGACATTTAAAGTCCTGAAATAAAACGAAAAAAAAGTGAAATAAATCAATTTTTGGTTGTCACAAAAGAAAATAAGCTGAGAGAAGGAAACAAAAATTGCGGTTACCTTTGAGAGAAAAAGAAAGAGAGTGAGAGAGAGAAAAAAACGTTAACCTATGTTTTGAGTTTCAAAGAAAGCACAACATTTTACTTCCATTATATTCCATAGAGACGCACGGTGGTTTCAAGGGACAATACAGTAAGAAGAAGAAGAAGAAGAAAGTGTTGTATGTCTCTGCAAGATGACAATGTTGACAGGGTTTTTTAATACCAGGACTGGAGAAGGGTGTTAGTGAAGATTATTTTGAATATTTTATTCTAAAAAAATGTATGTAGAAAATCTCTAAAAGTCTGAAACTCGTATGAGGTCTCATTTCTATCCACGGAAACCACTTACACCGCCAGATAATCTTAAATTGATAGGGAGACAACTAAAGAGAATAATCCGTAAGGTCCACAGTTTAAGTCTTAAGATGCAGATATATAGAAAAATAGTTTTAATGGCTTAAGTCGTCGGCTGACTTCTTTGTAAAAGAACATAAGACTTGTAAGCTGACTTAGTTCAATTTCGACCCATCATTTATACGTGTTCACCTTACGCTCCTTTGTTTTTTTTTGCGAAGAAGAGAGCCAGTGACTTATGCCGGAAAAATATTTCTATGTGTTGTCAACTTTATACCTGTTGAGGATCAATAGTAATTTTGGTTTTCTTTCTTTAGAGATTTTTAGAACACCTGCAGAAGTTTTTCTGTTCCTGAAATATCTTTTGTCAAGAGAATACCAAGATTTGACAAAAGTCCTTTCTAAATGTCTTCTGTATATGGAAGACCTGCTAACGGTCTCTTGTGGACAAAAACCTGCTAATATCTACTTGAGGAGTTTTGTGCTCTGTTGACACAAAAACTTCAACAGGTCATCTATGGTCAGAAAAACTTCAGCTGGTCCTCTGATCCTTTTGCAGGTCTTCTATGAATAGATTACATTCAGTTGAATGCCTATGAATGGAAGACCATCATTTTCTGCTGAAGATCTTTTAGCCATGGAAGAACTACTGAAAAAATTTTACCCACGAAATGCCAATTAAAGGTCTTCTGCAAAGAGAAACCCGAACTAAAGTCTCCTGTTCACAAAAGTCCTGGACGAAATCTACAGACTTATGGTCTTCTATTCACATAGGGCCTGCTGCAGGGCTTTGGTCTACAGAATACATGTTGAAGGTCGTCTGTTTACAGAAGTACCAAAGGAGCTCCTGAAGTTTTTCTGACCACAGAAGACATGCCGCAGGTGTTGTGTACACATAGGACCTGCTTAATATTTTCCTTCGGTAGAAAGCCTGCTGAAAGTCTTCTGTCCACAAAAGACCTGCTGAGGTGCATAGAAGATCTGCCAAATGTCTAAGGTTTAAGGAATCCTGCTGAAGGTCTTTTGTCTGCAAGAATCTTACTACAGTTCTGCTATACATAGAAGATCAGATTATGGTGTTCCGTTCAAAGGTCTTGCGACCACAAAAGAACTGCTAGTGGCCCTCTGTCCACAAAAAAAAACACTTATAAGTAGTCCTTGTGACAGACTGTCTACTGCATATAGTTGTCTGCCGAAATTCTTCAGTCCGTGAAAGTTCTGCTTCGTATTTTCTGTCCAAAGAAGCCATTCTAAAAATGTTCTATTCAGAAAATACCTACTGCTATTGCCTACCCAACATATGGAGACCTTCCAAAGCATTTATGAAAGTCATGTAAGACTGCTTCCATCTACAGATCTGTAAAAGGACTTCTATTCGTAGAAAACCTGTTGAGGAATACTTTTTAAAATCTTGTAGTTTTTCTATGTTAGAAGGTTTTCTATATATAATAGGCCTGACGAAGTCCTTTTACAAATAGGATCGAATTTCTGCAAAAATATATAAAAAGGCAGATCCTTGGATGTAAGACCTAAATAAAGAGGTCTGCTTTTGTGTCCCATTGGAAGATCTTTCAGATTGCTTTTTTCGAGGTTTTCGAGGTTTTCTTTGGATGGAAAATAACTTCTCTTCAATGACCTTTTCCTTAGATAGAATAGAATAGAATACACTTAATATTTGTTCCAAAGCATGTGTTTGCATAAAATGTCCACTCACCAAAAATAGATAATTTTCATCAATATGAGGACTTGAAACCACAGCCTTTACCCCTCATTATCCTCTTATCCCCGTTTTCTTTAGCTTTGTAGCCGTTAAATTTTTTTGTTTCAAAATTCATTTTGTTCATTTGAAAATCCGCACATTTTGATTTATTATTATTTTTTTCGTTTTATTTCTGGCCATGATTGTATATTATTTTGTTTTTTGTTGTTGTTAATTTATATGGCACATGGTAGAATTAATAAGGTAATCTTTTGGTATCATTTATTTGGTTTTTTTATAAAACTTTAGGTTTGAAAACATTTAAAGGCAGTTAAATTTGACAAGGTTAATTATATAAAAAGCAGGGCTGAATATGCTTATTTAAAATGAGGTAACCTTCTTAATTCTACCATGATATACCATATATCAATTGGAAAACACAAAACATTTTTTTAAGCTAAGTATTAAAGATACACCTTGAGATTCATTTTATAAGAGATATCGAAGGCGGTTATGGCAGATAAGGATAATTTAATGGAAAGTATCGTAAAATATAAATTAAAATTTGACTTAGCTTTCTCTTTCCTACTTCGAGTTATAGCCGATCTGTCAAATTTAAAAATGTTACTACCATAACCATAATTGTTAATAACCATAACTTATTTCTCTTACGATATCGAAAAAATCTATTAGATTCTTGCAGGTTTGGAACAGAGCAAACATAATATTCAAGTTATAGTACATTTACACGTTCCCGAATTAACTATACCCAGTGGATTTAAATAGCCAAATGCATTGCATACACGTCAACTAAATTCTCATAAAGAAGGTAAACACGGCAAAAGGCTGTAACTTTTTGCAAGGTTAAACTCCACTATAAAAGATTTACTTGGCGTATACAGGGTGAGATAAAAAAATGTAACAATATCAAATGCCATAATTTTTAAATTTTTTAAATTTTATTGAATGAAAGCAAGAAATGTCAGAAACAGCATCAAATTTTAGAATAAGTTTAGATTTGTTCGAATTGGTCACCTTTGGCACGAATTATGGCCTTTAAACGGCCAATGAAACCGTCACACGTTGCCCGAATATTGCTCTGCGGTATTTTGGCTCATTCTCGGCGAAGCGCTTGCTTGAGGTGATCAACACTTTGGTATTTTTTAACCTTGCTTTCCAAAATACTCCAGACACAATAGCCCAACGGATTGGTATCCGGAAATTTTGGTGGCCAGTGTGAGCTGGAAATGAAGCGAGGAACCTCATTTTGTAACCATTCCTGAGTGGCGCGTGCTGAGTGCGATGGTGCTGAGTCCTGTTGGAATGTCCAAGGTCTGCGGCCAAAATGTTTGAGTACCCAAGGCTTTAATACACCCACCGGCATTTATTCTGATGCCACGGTCGATTAATACGAACGGAGAGCGACCATCGGCTGTTATGGCAGCCCACATCATCACCATGGCCGGCGCTGGCTTCTGTGGCAAGTAAACACGATCATTTTGTTTGTTTACAAACTGCTGGAATGTTTTCTTATCGGAAAACACCAAATTTGACAATTCACCACTTTCGGCCCAGCGAAGCAACACTTCTTTTCGCTCTTTTGAGTCTATTTTCTTTCTATTGCGGTGCAAGTTTTTGTACTTTTTGGAATTTCAATGGCTTTATCCCGAGCTCATTTTTCAATATTTGCCGAATGGAATATTGCGATATGTTCAGCTCACGAGCTATTTTCGGCCACTGCGACGCGGGTTCCGATCAAGTCGCTCCTTTACTTTTCAAACCATTTCTGCTGATGTTGCTGTTTTCCATCCACTTCCTTGACATCGGGCTACGCTACTAGTATCACGCTAACGAGCGATGGTACCAGACACAAAAGATTTATTCACATTTAAATGCTGGAGTGCTCTAACGATAACCACTTATGGTTTTCCACCAAATATAAAGAAATCATACTATCACGCTTGAATTCCATCACGAATAACTTTTTTCTGAAAAATTCTCACCAAAATGCTTTTGTACGCTTGTAAACAATATAATGAGCTGTCACTGGAATAATTTTAACAGCTGTCGGACGAGTGGCTTAGAAATGACAGCAGTCTGAAGATGGTTGCAGTTTTTTTCATCTCACCCTGGAATGGAATTGATAAATTTAAATCTACAGAGTTTACTAAACGTACTGTTACTGTAAAGTACTTACTGTAAACGTACTGTTAGACGCAGTTTTTGGTACTGCTCCTTCCTTAATTCTTTTTCCATCAAAATTTGTTTGTTTTTTAACCGCCTTTGTATGTCTTTTAGCTACACCCGCTCCTTGTACAGCTTTTTTGTAATAATTTTAATCTTAGTTTATTTATTTTTTTCTTTTTATTAAACAATATCCTGTAAACCATCTGCCTAATCACACCATAAAGACAATTGTATTGAAATACACAATAAAAAAATTGAATTAAAATAATGGCAAATATTTGTAATAATTATAAAATAATATATATATTATAACAGATCAAATAAATCGTTGCTATGCAATTGTGAATTATATTTATATACAAAAAACATAGAAAGAAACTACTTTTGCAAGATGTTACATACAAATTAAATATCACTGAAGATATTACACTTAATATACAGCATAATGTTCAAAAAAGAATTATTAAATAAACAAAAAATATATGTGTGGAACAACAAAATGGAAACATCAGCAACAATTTAGAAATGCTAATATAAACTTTTTGAGTATTTGTAGTAATCGGGTATTTTCATGAAAGAAAATTTGTAACGCATATATCTGCCTAAATCAGAGCTTAAATATGTAGTTTTCAAAAAGTTCGGTTATATTTTTAGCTACACATATTTACATCACTAAATATTGTTGCAGAAATTACAGCTAAGATGTTAAGAGTGACACTGAAAATATTTTCTCCAAATATGTATTTTATGTTGGTCTATATTACGCATGATGTTAGAGTAATATGTAAATTGTCCACAATTATCTGTAGCATTTTAATGGCATACTTTTAGACGCTCTGCATTATTTTTAATCCAAAAACAAGTAAAAAAGCAGCTAAGTTTGGTCGGGCCGAACATTTAATACCCTAAACCTTTTGTAAGGATCTTGAAAATTTTAAAAAAAAAACTTCCGAAATCTACCACTTGAAAACCAATGAAAACTGTTATATGGAGACTATACGAAGGCGTGGACCTGCAAACAAAAATTTTTGTCATAGACTGTAGCAAATACGAAATATGAAATAATTCCGGTAAATAATGTCGCTAAAATCATGATAATACCGAATATCTGGAGGCACCGTTATATAGGGGCTATACGAAGACGCGGACCTGCTTACGAAACTTTTTTCCATAGGTTGTAGTAACCAGTAAGATCTCCCAATACGAAATTTAAATGATTCCGGCAAATACTGTCGCTAAAATCATGAAAATACCGAATATCGGTTACGAACTTAACCTGCCTACTGGTAAACTATGCATGTATGTACAATTTTAGCCTTCTATGTCAATTCGTTCGAAAGATAGCGTGATTACAACAGACAGACAGATAGATATCGCTAGATCGTCTTAGGGTCTATTAGGAATATTTCGAGGAGTTACAAACGAAATGACAAAGTTAATATACCATCCATAGAATGGTGGAAGGCATGGCACAAAGAAGATAAGTTAGGTTAACTTCGAAAAAATTGCAAGTATAGAGGTCTACCTGTTTGGCTTGTAATGTCAGAATTAGTATCAAAACAATAAAAATTCAAACAACTTGTTGCATTTATTTTGAATAAATAATTGAGAACCGCGAAAACTGAATGAAAGGTC